TACCCGTGGGTGTATCCCACCGGGTCCATGTCCCCTGCGGAACGCTTCCGCTTACAGGGCTGTGCTGGCCGGCTTGTGAAGAGCACTGTAGCTCGCCGGGTGAAATAAAGAGAAAATGTTTTTAGGAGGAGAAGAGAGCAGAGCAGGAAATGTTTCCTGGAAAGTGGTGAGGATCGGTGACCTTTGTCAGATCTCCATCCAGAAGAGCATCAGCCTGCTCCAGAATATTAGCTCACTCTCGGCTTCCTTGTTTTCTTAGATCTATTCTTTCCCTGTTTTACTTTTATATTTTACTTTCCGATTTTCTTCATAGCTGCTCTTTTAAACGTAGGCATTCTTCATCCTCCCCTTGTAGACCTCAGGTAGTTGTACTCTCTTGTCTAATACAAAGTATAATTGAGGTTCTGTCACTCTGTCACACTGTCTGTGTGTGACACGTTTCAATATACTCAAAAATCTTAAGTTTCTAAGTAATTTTCCTGAGGCTTTGTAATATACCCAAATCTGTTTGGTGTTTTAATAAGAAAAAAGGAAATCCGTACTGAAGAAAAACCTGCTTCTTGCTTCTGTCAAGAACTTGGTCAGCAATTACTGTGCCACAAGCTTACCAGGAAACCTTCTTTAAGCCTTTTCAGGGAAATGTTTCTTTCAGCATTTCAGGGGTTTAAGAAATGGTTCAAAATATTATCTTTCAGCCTTTTTTCTCGAAATGGATAGTACCATTCTTCGTACACGCCGTGCCCCAAGTGGTGTCATGCGAGTAACATTTTGGCCTGGTGGGCATGCAGTGACCTGGATAACTCAAAATGGGGTTTTGCAACACCATGCTGATTGGTCTAGGGAAGATAAATGGCTGTTCTGAGCTGCTGTAGGAACTTCTGTGTTGTAGCCATGAGATGCATTGTTTTCCAAGTAAAATACTACATAAAAAATTAAGGAGTTGATGTTATGTAAAAACACTGTTTTTATTTTTTTAGATTCATCTGCATTTATCCAGCGTATTTGAATAACAAGAAGACAATAGCAGAAGGAAGAAGGATACCTATAGACAAAGTAATTTTTTGGGTGGCAGGGAAGTATGATGTTCTGCTTTGCTGTAGCATGTAGAGAGTTAGAAAATAAATCTCAAAGATGATGATCCTGCCCATCGCTGTGGCAGTAGTTCAGTCAGTGGAAATGGCAGTGCATTTGAAGATAACCTGCTGTCAGCATGTGGACTTGGTAGAAGAACACTGGGTTGAAATGAGCAGCATCTTTGGCAAACATGTAAAGTAGTGAGGAACTGAATGCGCTCAGCCTCCTGTGAGGAGTTTACCCCATGTCAAAGCCATGCAGAAGAGAGCAGCTAGCTAACAGTTGTTTTTTGGTGACTGGGTATATGTGCTTATATTCTGTGCCTGCCCGCTTCACTGCTGTCAGAGAGAGAACTTAGGATGCATATAGCACATAGACATGGTAGTTGCTGTTCCTTTTAATCTGTCCAGAAATAATTTTTTATCATCTTGCTCCTTTATATTTTTGACAAGCAGTGCTGGGGAATATAAAGGGCTCTTCTCACTGCTCAGGGCTGTTGGATATTTAATTTTTTTTTCTGATAATAATTGAAAATAACAAAATGCAAGTTGTCAAAGATCTGTCTATGAGATGAATCTGCTGCTCTGCACCTAGAAAGTTTCTAACTTTTCTCCCTCAGTCCTTGCTGGGACAGCTAAGTTTGCTGTGGCTGATCCATGGCTTTCGTCTTTTTTTTCTAAATACAATGAATGTTATTTAATTTCTATTACTTTTCCTAAGCAGTTCTTTTTACGTCCTCCCCTGTCCAAATTAATCCTGTCTCATTTGTTTCCTGTTTTACTGATGTCTTACCTCTTGGGATTTTGCTTTATTCTGTTTTTAGACTGTAGGAGTGCTCAGAGATGACTTATACAGTAGATTTGTCATAATTTGAAGTACCTTCTCTTTCCCCATCTGATTTTTTCTAGCTGTAGAGTATGGGGTGGGAAACTGCTGCCTGTTGCTGCATGGGAGGTTAGTTGTTGAAGAATAATCAACTATGACACGTTGTTTCAACAGGCTGTTGAAAACCCTACATCTACAGAAATCCAAGATGTGTGTGCAGCAGTTGGATTCAATGTTCTGTTAGAGGTAACTTAAAAAAAAAAATCACCACCAACTTGATGTCTTTGTTCTTTTATTGTGTCTTTTCTTCAAGGCAGGATAAATTACAGTTGAGAAGATTTTGGTGTCAGGCAAGACATCCACTTGCTTTGAGTAATAATTGACCATAATGATGAAGTAAATGCTGGAAAACTGTATGCCAGGCAGGAATAACCCAAATCTCTGAGACAATGCCACTTTTGAGCTTATAAAAAGACTAATTTTATTTAACTGTCCTTCTGAGAAGACTATCCTAGGATCTTAAGTGTGTCAGAACAAAAGCTAATGCTGCTGCAACTCTGCAAATTAAGCTTTTAAAAAGGCATATTTTTAATGAAAGGCAATTGCCTTTTGGAATGTGTCCTACAGAAATCTATAGAGCCATCTGGAGATATGTTTTAGCCAGAGAATATTTTTTTCTCACAATACCTATTTGCTCTTCAAATAGTTTAAGTTGGTTAATTTTTCTTGGGGAGTGAGTCTGGGCTTCTAGGGAGGTAACTTTCTGCAATTCATTTGTGGAGGTAATTATTAATTCAACATATTGTTGAATTTTCTAAGAATAATTTAGGTCCTTTATCTAAGAGTGTGACTGGTATCCAAAAACCAGTACAAAATCACTTTGCTTCTCAGAGGGAGTCGATGACATCGCTGTTAGTCCACACCAGCCCATGGTGATACAGCCAGTGCCAGTAAAAACCTGTAACATTTTAACAGAAACAGGAGGTCACGAGTTCCTAAAAGCAGCAGGCCTCAGGCTGTGACCTCTGACTTACCGTCTCTAGGTGTGCAGAAGGGTTTGTGGCAGTGGAGATGGAACAAAGTGCATTGCTGCTGTCCAGCCCCTGTAGCAGGTTACTCACTGAGGCGTTGGGTACCAGTGGCTGGGTGCAGCAGTGCTGTGAGAGAAGTTACACTGCAGCCCTGGGTGCCACAGCAGTGGCCAAGTGGTGGATGACACTGTTGAAGACGGCAGTTGCAGTTTACATCTGTTCAGAATTCCAGGCTGCTATGAGTTAAACTACCTTACAAATTTTGCAGAAAATTATCCCAGTACTTGTTATAATGTTTCTCCTTTTGTATGACAGAAAAATAAGATGTATCCCAGAGAGTGGAACAGAGACATGCAGTACAGAGGCAGAGTGCGAATCCAGCTCAAACAAGATGATGGCAACCCATGTTTGCCTCAGTTTCCAACACGTGAGTACCTGGCTTAGGCACTTTGTCTGTTAATAAAACAGAAAGGCTTTGTTTGTTTTGTTATGTTACCAGCTTACAAGTTTTATCACAAGTTCACGTTAAATCTCTTTGCCTGCATAGGGAATTAACCAAATCTATCTCTTTGCTTGTAGAAGTTAACCCAGTTAAGCTGGGGTCCAAGCACTAAGAGGAGTTTGTAACATGCTGTTGTCTTTGATCCTGCTCTTTCTTCAGTGGTTGTGTTGGAGGGAACTGTGGGTAGTGTGCGGTCGCCGTGTTGAACAAAGCATCTGTTCAGCTTTAGCTTGCTGTTTTGTTGGTAGCTAAAACAGGACTTTGTATGAAAGTGGCTAAATTCCACCTTTTTCTTAGGTTACATACATACATCTGTGTGGATGTCAAACTGACAAAATACTGAGTCCAGTTGAGTTTTGTGCTGGCCATTTTCATAAATTAACGGTGGAGCAACTCCACTAAGAAACTAAGTAACAACAGTTCATTTTCAATTACAAGTAATTTAGTCTTTTGCATTTTTCCTGAAAATTAATCATAAAAGGGAAGGAAATATGTATCTGAAGAATTATATATGTTAAGGTAAGAGCAAGAAGAATAATGAATCTAGAGTAGCCTAAGAAACCTGCTGTTGGTCCAAAGGAGATGATTCTGAAGGAAATTATTTAAAACCATGCTCCTGCTGACAGACAGCAGTGCCTTTCTAAAAAAGTTGGGAAGAGTATTTCACAAGCTTGGAGCTACACAGAGGAAGGAAGCAGAACTCCTAGGCTTTATAGCTAGTTTAACAAATCTAAAGTGGGGTTGAAGTTTCTAACTTTGAAAGTGATGCAAATGGAGAAGGCATGCACTGATTTCTCCCTGTATTTTTAGGTAAATCTGTGATGCTGTATGCTGCAGAAACCATTCCCAAACTGAAAACAAGAACCCAAAAGATGGGAGGTAGTGATCAAAGTCTTCAACAAGGAGAGGGAGGCAAGAAAGGTAAAGGGAAGAAAAAGAAATGAACTCTCATATGGAACAACACTCACATCACATAGTTGTGCTTAGGATAAATGTGGATGGACACATTACTTACTGCAACTTTGAAGTAAAAGATACAGGCAAGAATTAAGAGGTGACTGAATAGAACTGCCTGCTTTTCTCAGAGACAGAATGCATGTAGCTGCCTCGCATCTGTGTAACAATAATTCTGTCCTCACACACAACCTGCAACTCTGAAACTAGCATCCACTTTTAGAAGTGGAGAGCATAAGCAAATGGGGTGGGAGAATTATTCTTGGTGGAAGAAATATGCAGCTTTTGATATATAAATATTCTTATGCAGACTAGATTCCTGAAAACTGGTTGCCTTAGTAAACCATTTATCTATGCTAGTGAAGTGATTATCTTAATTCTGGAGGGTCTTTGTCACTAACAGAAAAATACAAATCAATGATGTTACGGCTCTGTAAACTTCCCTTGCTAATAATCTTTCACAGCTGTCAAGTATACTAATAAAGGTGACATGTTAGTTTTAAAAAAAATTAATTTTATAGAATACTTTTTCCAAAGGTGTTATTTTTAACTCCACAGTCTATTGTAAAGAAGTCAGTGACATATATTGTAAGGATAATATTGTAAAGTTTTCAGATAATTTGAGAAAAATAGTTCCCTTTTCTGTCTTGTACAATGTGGGATACTATGTTTTCCTATTTTGCATTGTTTCAGAGCTTAAGAAGCGTACCTTTGTTTTCTAGCTGCCAAATACTATTTCAGGTGACTGAGGACTGCAATATCTGGTAACTTTATATTTTTTTTTATTGTAGTCCAGAGACAGGGGCAAAAAGTTAGCTGGTTAGAACACCTGTCCAGCAGCAACGCTCCTTTGAATTAAGAAATATACTGTGCAAGATAAATGAGGGATAGTTTAGCATAAGGGGACTGAAAAAGAAGCAGCAGTACCTGTTTTGAGTTTAAATGCAAAATACTGCATGAGTTTTTCTAATCCTTAGTATATGGAAACAAAGTCGGTTGGAAGCTTTCACAGATGACTGCTGGAAGCAAGTTCTCAGATAATTTTTGATCGTTTTTTTCACATGGCAATATTCTCTTCTAGGATTTATCTTCTCTGTCCAGTGTCCTATTCTGTGGCATCAGCTTATTCCCATTGTAAAGATAAACAGCATTCAAAATATATCTAAACATTAATGACTATTCTAAAGTAATGAAACTTGGTAAAGTTCTTGATGATATCATGTGGTGGTTCAGCCCCAGGCAGGAGCTGGGCCCCACATGGCCACTTGCTCATATTCCCCCCCCTGCCTGGGAGGGAGAAAAATACAAACCCCCATGGGCTGAGACAAGGAGAATTTAATACAACACCGCAGAAGCAACAGCAAACAACAGCAGTAACAATAGGTATAACAATATATATCAAGGGGTACAAGGAAAGAGACCACTGCACAGGCTCCGGGCACCCGTGCCTACACCCCCTGGCCCTGACACCCAATGTCCCTGACACCCATCCTGGCCCCCA